GCTGATCGAATGAATGAGCGCAGATGAGATGGTAAGGAGGTCCAATATGCGTCATCATCCGGATGAGGTGCGTGACCGTCTGTGGTAGACGAGCAAAGGTTAAAAGTGCGAAAGTCGTGGCAATAGGCAACGAGGATGAATCAGCCATGCCAAGGAAAAGAAGACTGGGAACTGGCGCCAGGTTGAATAGGTCGTTCCCAAAGAGATGAGCAAGTGAAGAAAAAGAACTCACTCTGATTTGAGTGGCCACTTCCGCCTCCGTGTATACCACCAGAAGCCGGTGAGTTGTTGTTGCCGATGTTAGCTAGACTCTGAGGGCTAAGATGAGAAGCCAGAGCAGCCGCAGCCGCAGTCTCGATCTGCCTATAGAGGTCGTTTGCAGTAGCTAATAAATCTTCTTGGGTTTGGCGAGTAGCGGCGGCAAGACTCGGATGCATCGCATGAGTCGTTAGCCGCTCGTCGTCATCGTCCTGAGAGACACTCCCTGTTGTTGTCCGTTGAGTATGAGACGAAGCGTCCTCATTGGGGTAAGCACCAATCATATCAGATCGATCTGCAAGACTCCCTGGATCTTGATGATCAATCGACAAATGGTTCTGATTCGAGTCGAACTGACGAGCTTGGGCGGCTTTCTTCTTATTTTTCTTCTTGGCAGCGTTCGAGGTCTTTGATTTTGGCATCGTATCAAAAGATGCGGGTAGAGAAGGATTTAAAGATAGAAGACTAGTTGTTTCGAAATGAAAATGATTGATTCGGTTCTTAGCCACCCGAGACGTTCAAGGTAAGACCAAGAAAATGATGATTTAGAGTACTGTTTTGAAACGAGGAGGGTTATAAGAAAAGGGTCCGAAAAGGAGAAGGAAGTTAGCCTGGTTTACTTTGAAGAAAAAGAATCTGAATATAAAAAACGAAGGATACTCACCTCACCGGTAAAGGAATAGTATAAATCTGAGCTATTACTGCGGAAAAAAGAGCCAAGATTGAGTAAGTTCAGAATGATCGAAAGATGAAAAGTTGAGACAAGATGAAAGGGTGAATTGATAGTTGGATGCCGTTTTGAATGATCAGTTAATTATGATTTGAAAAGTGAGTGAATCTGATGATGATGATGAGTGAGTTTGATGACTGAGTGAGTTGTTGACTGAGAATTGTGATGAGAAGATGAAGTAGATTGTTGAATGTTGATTGAAAGGAAGTGAAGTGAACAAACCTATTTGAAGCTTCGAAAAGGGGTTGAGTGATTGATGAGATATTTTTGACTGAGAT